GTCTACTTCTACTTCTTCTTCATCTTCTTTTTCTACGTCTTCATCTTTGTCTTATTCTTTGTCTTCTTCTTCGTCTTCGTCTTCTTCTTCTTCTTCGTCTTCTTCGTTTTCTTCTTCCTCTTCTTCTTCTTTGTCTTGTTCTTCGTCATCATCTTCTTCTTCTTGGTCTTCTTCTTCTTCTTTTTCTTCTTCTTGTTCTCCTTTTTCTTCTTCTTCTTTGTCTTCTTCTTCGTCTTCTTCATCTTCTTTGTCTTCTTTTTCTTCTTCTTCTTCTTCGTCTTCTTGTTCTTCTTCTTCGTCTTCATCTTCTTCTTCGTCTTCTTGTTCTTCTTCTAATTCTTATTCTTTTTCTTCTTTATCTTCGTCTTCTTGTTCTTCATCTTCGTCTTCTTCTTTTTCTTCATCTTCTTTGTTTTCTTCACCTTCTTCTTCTTCGTCTTATTCTTCTTCGTGTTCTTCTTACTCTTCTTCTATGTCTTCTTCTATGTCTTCTTCTTCGTCATCATCTTCTGTGTCTTCTTCTTCTTCTTCTTTTTATTCTTCATCATCTTCTTCTTTGTCTTCTTCATCTTCTTTCTTCTTCTTCATCTTCTTCATCTTCATCTTCATCTTCTTCTTAGTCTTTTTCGTTTTCTTCTTCATCTTCTTCTTCTTCATTTCTTCTTCTTCGTCTTGTTCCTCTTCCTTTTCTTCTTCCTCTTCTTCTTTGTCTTCTTCTTCGTTAACGTCTTCTGTGTCGTCTTCGTCTTCTTCTTCATCATCTTTTTCTTCTTCTTCTTCTTCTTCATCTTCGTCTTTGTCTTTGTCTTCATCTTCTTCGTCTTTTTCATCTTATCCTTCTTTGTCTTCTTCGTCATCGTCTTTTGTGTCTTCTTCTTCTTCGTCTTGTTCCTCTTCCTTTTCTTCTTCCTCTTCTTCTTTGTCTTCTTCGTCATCGTCTTTTGTGTCTTCTTCTTCTTCGTCTTGTTCCTCTTCCTTTTCTTCTTCCTCTTCTTCTTTGTCTTCTTCGTCATCGTCTTTTGTGTCTTCTTCTTCTTCGTCTTGTTCGTATTCTTCGTCTGGTTCTTCATCTTCTTCGTCTTTTTCATCTTATCCTTCTTTGTCTTCTTCGTCTTATTCGTTATATTCCTCTTCTTCTTTTTCTTCATCGTCTTCTTCTTCTCTTCTTTTTCTTCGTCTTCGTCTTCTTCGTCTTCATCGTCTTCTTCGTCTTCTCCTTTCTTCTTCTTTCTTCGTCTTTTCTTCTTCTTCTTCGTCTTCTTCATCTTCTTCGTCTTCTCCTTCGTTGCCTTCTTCTTCTTCCTCTTCTTCATCTTCTTCTTCGTGTTCTTCGTCTTATACTTCTTCATCTTCGTCTTTGTCTTCTTCTTCGTCTTCGTCTTCTTAATCTTCTTCATCTTTGTCTTCTTCTTCATCTTATTCTTCATCTTCTTCTTCTTCATCATCTTCCTCTTCATCTTCTTCTTCGTCTTGTTCTTATTATTCTTCTTCGTCTTCTTCGTCTTCTTCTTTATATTCATCTTCTTCTTGTTCTTCGTCTTCTTCTCATTCTCCTTCTTCTTCTTCTTTGTCTTCGCTTCTTGAACTTCTTCTTCTTCTTCATTGTCTTATTCTTCGTCTTCTTCATCTTCTTCTTCTTCTTCTTCTTCTTCTTCTTCTTCTTCTTCTTCTTCTTCTTCTTCTTCTTCTTCTTCTTCTTCTTCTTCTTCTTCTTCTTCTTCTTCTTCTTCTTCTTTTTCTTCGTCTTCTTCTTTGTCTTCTTCGTATTCTTCTTCCTGTTCTTCGTCTTCTTCTTCATTTTCTTCCTCTTCTTCATCTTCTTCTTCATTTTCTTCTTCGTTTTCTTCCTCTTCTCCTTCGTCTTTTTCGTCTTCCTTTTCTTCTTCATCTTCTTCGTTTTCTTTGTCTTCTTCGTCTCCTTCTTCTTAGTCTACTTCTGCTTCTTCTTCATCTTCTTCTTCTCCATCTTCATCTTTGTCTTCTTCTTCTTCATCATCTTCTTCATTTTCTTCTTCGTCTTCGTCTTGTTCGTCTTCATGTTCTTCTTCCTCTTCTTGTTCTTTGTCTTGTTCTTCATCATCAACTTCTGTGTCGTCTTCTTCTTCTTCTTCTTCTTCTTCTTCGTCTTCATCTTCTTCTTCGTCTTCTTGTTCTTCATCTTCATCTTCTTCAATTTCTTCTTCTTCGTCATCGTCTTCTGTGTCTTTTTCTTCTTCTTCTTCTTCGTCTTCTTCGTCTTTGTCTTTGTCTTCATCTTTTTCTTCTTCATTTTCTTCTTGGTTTTCTTCTTCAACTTCTTCGTCTTCCTCTTGTTCGTCTTCTTGTTCTTCTTCCTCTTCTTGTTCTGTCTTCTTCGTCATCGTCTTCTGTGTCTTCTTCATCTTCTTCTTCACAAAATCACAGAATCACAGAATGTT